ACAATTGTTTGTTACTTTTCTTTTTTATTTTGGATCAAAAAGATTTTGAGATTAAAATTTATATGGCAAATTATATACAGACTAATTAAACTAATTATAAAATTCGAACATTTCCTAAAACCACTGATGATGAGTACTCGGCAATGCTCGAAACAGCATTGTATGGTCAGCAAAAATTTCAATAAATTAACTAAAATTTTTGTTGTTCTCTTTTCATTTCTATTCAAACCTTTCTAAAATCAATTCTTTCTTATGTTTATCTAATTCTTTTAAATTTTTAATGTTAACAAAAGTTAGTTTAATTATAAAATACCAAAAGTATCTAATAGCCTACACATTAGTCTCGAGAATCAAATGAAGTTTTAATTATCATTCTCATACCTAAGAATGTATATTAATGTGTTTTATATTAATGTAAACATATCAATTGAATTAATAGATATTTTAGAATTTTAAGAAAATTTGCTAAACTATTTTTGACCAAAGTAATTATAAGTTAGACACTTAACTTTGAAATGTAGACAACTTAGATTTAAACGATCGTTATAATATTCAAACTAATTTTAATAGAAAAACTTTTGAATTCTAACACAATAAAGTCAAAAAGTTCAAAAGGCATTTTAACCTCCACTTCCTAACAAAATAAAAGTTATACTGTAAAAAATACAGTATAAACCCAGATATGCGAAAGGTATTCACATAGCAAAAAATATGTGACCCAGCTATTAATCTTAAAGAATTAATTGAAACATTCCGCAAATACATTTACAAACCGAACACAACCAACAAATGCTTAAATTTTAAAGTTTTTATGCAACAAAGTCTAACTTCATCCAATTTTTATATTTATTTCATCCTTTTGGAAATATGCACTTGTGTAGTGGTTTGTTGAACAGACTTTGGGAACATTAGCATGAAATTTGTATCTCAACTATGAAGCCATTTGCTGGGAATACACTGCGGTAATGGTCAAAATACTAAAACTAAACGATGTAAGTCTTAGTGAAAACAAAAACATAAACAAACACATTTACTTACACTAACATATCCTTCCAAAACCACACATTACTACCCATACATACAGATATGTGAAACACATTAAACTTTAAAATGTGGTATATGTAAGATCAAAGCATCAATAGACGCTGTAGTAACATCTAAGGTTACCCCACATACGTATTCGTTATTTACTTAACGCTTGTTAGGATAAGCCACATAAAAAACATAGCCAAAGGACTCTTCCAGGGCAAACACATACTCAACTGCAGGCACTCTGACATTGGCATGAGCCAAAATGTTTATTTAGGCTAAAAAATTTCACACTATTAAAGAGTCCTTGCGGTTGACTATGCAAAGCACGCAAATGTGTAAATATTTTTCAAAACACTTTCAAGGGTTCTACTTATATTTACAGGTCGATAAAATATGAACTTACAGATATTGGCTTGAACCTTTTATGGCTTATACACAAATTAGTACGGAGCCCGAAATACAAACACACCAAAGCTCAAACCTTTTTGTATGCAAAAGTGAGTATAACTTAAGTGTGAAGCTGTGAACCATTTTAGTATCTATAGATAAGTGCTCAATTCGATGTTTGGAAGGGATGCTGTAATTGCTGCACTTGCCTTACTGTACAATTGCCTCATAGAAGGCATTGTGTATGATTGTGTATAAAAGATTGTTACAAAGATACATAGAAATGAACAGTACAAAGGTATTCAATATATCGGCAATATATCAGATAGTGGAAAAAAGTTCGTTAACTTAAACAAAAAAGTTTGATTTAAGTGAATGTGATTTTTAAACAAAATCTTACTCGCATGTGTATGCTATGAAATTCTGAAGTATAAAATATAGTGGACCTATGGTCCACTAGGAGAGAAGGACAGCAGTAAGTAAATAAAAACTGTAATATTTTTTTGAAATATTGTTTAAATAGAATAAACTATAAAAGTATTATTTTATTACATGAAGGAAATTTTAATATAAGCAGAAATTATTAAAGTAATTATTTGTAATAACGACATCTATTGGCAGTTATATGAAAATGACATAATAAAATAGTTCTGTCACTAATCAAAACTCCCACTGTCAAAATTTTATGGTACTTCAACAAATGTAAGTGATATTATTGTGTTTTAATTAAAAGTCCTTTAATATGTCAGTATAAGTCTTTAAATGATTTTTTCATCTATAAAATATTTTTTTTTCATTGACAAAAACATTTTTCTAACATACAAGACATCGCATAGTACCATATTAGTAGTGAATAGTTATTATGTGAATTTTAGTCCACAAATCAGATACTATTGTAGTTTGCAAAAATAGAATCTTCGACGGTTGCGACGGTTAACTTGCTCAGAACAAACCGAGTACATACTTTCGGTACTCCAATCTTGCTCTCAAAATGTTATAAATAGATGATTTGTAATCGAATAAAAATGTTTAAATATTGCATGATCTTCAATAAATTGTTATCCAAATGATATATTTATTTCTATTTCCTAATTGGGGTGTTGTTAGTTCCAACTTGATCAAATCAAAATAATTATTTACCTGTAAATGGTTTAGCAACCTAACCCGTTTTTACGGGTTACGATAGCATACTTACCCAGAAAAAATTTACCGACGAAAGAAAGAGTATTATTACAAAATGTTTCTTTCTTTAAGGGGAAGGACTAAGGAACTTTTGCACTCAGATAGTAGCGGACTTTGTGAGACTTATGCCAATGTAAATTTAAAGAAAGATTCAAATGGATCGAAATGTCATCTGCAGCATCGATTTGAACTACAGTTTGTTATTACTCACATCATTTTTTTCTGCATGAAAATAAATTTATTGATTTTCTTAAATACATTATTCCATAATAATATTAGTTATAATCAATGAATCAGTGAAAATTATAACATATTCACTTGCTTATTAATATTTATAATGCGGTCACATAGATAATATAAATTTAAAATAAAATTTAAACTCTAACCATCTAAAATTGTTGGGAACCTTAACCATTTCGAACAAAATTTTAATATTGAAGACGACTCATCCAATTGTGTATAACACGAGAACAATAATTGATTTAGTATCATCTATAGTTGATAATTAACTATATATTGAGATTAATGATGTTATTAAAACTGATAATAATAATGACTAATATTAAGAACTATTAACTCAACATGATCTTTTTTTGCTTGCAATAAATTACTCTCTTGTGGAGAAGTTATTATTATATTATTAAATGTTTTAACGTGAAATCGTTCAGAAAAACCAGTACTACGGCCAGAAGAGTCCTATTGTACCAATTTCACTATTGATTACACAAAGCTCTTTAAAGCTTTGTAAACAAAGTCCAGAACTAAATCTAGAGAAGACATCTTAATCTGTTCTGGTGATAGAAATTCCATATGAAATAAGTTTCTTCTGTGCTTTGTTAAAGCTGGACAGTCGCAAAGAATGTGCATAGTAGTTTCCTCATCTTCGAGGCATAATCTGCATTCCAAATTAGCAGATAATCGTGATATTTCAGGCCAGAATGACTTATAATAAAACCCGTTATCAACCTTAAATTACATTATGTGAAATTTAAGAATGTTTTTGTAAGAGTACACTTTTATAAGTGATTTGCTTTATCTAAGTCTTGGGAAGTCTTCTTGATGCAGTCTTTTTGATGCAGTTTTGGCTAGCTCATCAGCTTGTTCATTTCCCAAAACTCCCTTGTAACCCGGAAATCAGTAAAGATATACCTTATTCCGAGCTGCAAGAAACTGTAAGAGCTTAAAACACTCAAGGACCCGTTTCCATTTGATTATGGGGAAGTTAATTTCGACATTAAAGATTTATTGGTAGTGAAGAAATGTGCAGAGAAACATGTGCACAAAATGCTTTCTCGAAAGAATGTACTGACGGAATCTTTACAGAAAATATTTATGAAAAGTTAAAATAACTCAATTGAGAGTGTGCTTTGTTTAAATTTGAATTTTTGAAATAGTTTCCAAAAATAATGATTCAATATTTATTTTGATTATTTGTACTCCCACTATTCGAATACGTTCATATAATTTAAGGCAGTACATGTTATGATTAGATATCTCTACTTCTAACATTTGAAGATTATTCTCATGTATACCGTGTAGCATTGCAAAGTAAAATATTCAAAACAAATTTATTTTTAGTTTTATTTTTATCTAAGAGCCATAAACAACAATATTAAATACCTTTTGAGAAATATGATAAAATATATGATATACGGGCAAGCCATTTTTAGTAGTTTTAATGAACCAGAGTTAACTTTTAATACAAAAACGTTGTTTGTGTATAGTTATTAGAAGCTGAAATTTTAGAATGTTTGCTTAGATTTCAAATATTTAATCCTAAACATTAAATCCATGACTAGTAAAATCTTTCTCCGTAGCATATGAAAACACAAAAAAAGATTTATTATCCTAAAACAAATCAAATTTTGACCATCTGAAGAAGCATATCTAAAGGATATAAAAGTTCAAGTATTGAGACAAGAAAATTTTAACAAGGATAAAGAACTGGAACAAAATAAAAAAGATATACAAGAATGAAAGAATTTTGGATTAAAATTGACTGATTAAAGTGTTTATAATTATTCCACAGTAACTAAGTTTGCACTATTCAAAAACTTATTCATATTTTTTACTTCAATAAGCCAAGAGCCGAACTTAAGGACTTTTAATCTCTAAATTCGTCCTTCGTCAGAAACCAATTCTTTGTATTTCCAAAAAAAAACATATTGTTTCCCTGACCTACTTTTAAATTTTTAATACACTTTGCTTTTTATCTAAAACAGAAAAACTCCCTCCTAAATACTAAGCTACTTTCTATCCCCATAATATTAAATTGTTTATAGTTTAGATTAATATTAATACATTTCTATATTGTTCTCACACTAGTTTATACAATTTATTATTTTAGTATTAATCATTTTTAAAATACAATAAATAATAAATTACTGATTGTTCTCAGCTACACCTTGGATAATAAATTTATCTACTAACAGGTCGAATTGCCATGTGGGTGTATTGAAGCGAATAAAAATAACCATGCCACGCATTCCAGTTAATACCTTGTCCAGTTTTATCTTTGCCATACGCTCCACGTAAATACTGTCCATTTAAATGACTGAAAATAAAGAAAATTTTTTAAATATCAATCATACATGTATTGGTTGGTTTTATCGAATTGATATCGATCGGCACATCTGCTCAATTTTTTCAGTTGATCATAAAGTGACTTATGATCATCAAGAAAAACCTGGTGTTTATCAACCTTTTTTTATGATACACTCTACCTGAAAATTCATAAAATTCGTCACATATATATTCTTCTCTTCCAACAGTCCTTCATTGCTTTTATTTAATTACAATTGCAATATATTAAGTATCACTCTTTTACTTTTATTTTGGTTTCTAGATTCATTCAATCTATTCCTTTATACAACAGTGGTTAAAGAGTTGCGCATTTCTTTAATATTCCTTAACAAGCTTACTGGATTATTGTAAATTACTATTATGTTATCACTACCATAGCTTTCAGTTTCACTTAATTCTTACCGCTCACTAAAACATTTTTGAGCCTATGCACTTAGTATAGTAATTATTACCTTTGTTGGCAGGACTTGTACCACCAACCCCCTGTGTACATTTCTGCACAATTTTTTTCCCAAGTATCATTATCATTATCTTTTGTTGAGAACTTTGCACCAGCGTGGATTGTGAAAGAATCACCTGCATTACCGGAATATTTACCAACCATATTTATTGCGTATTTGGAATTTTCATCATCAATAGCAAAACTGCTATAATATGCATTACGAGTTGCATTTTCAAAATCTTTTAAATGAAACCATAACTCCTGGACCCCATTATTCGTTAAGGCATGTAACTTCTCCAATCCAATAAAGTATTCGCCTTCCAGATTACCAAAACCGTATTTATAATCAACCCAATTTAAGAAGAAATCCATTGAACCATCCTGACGTCTTTGAACAATTGTCCAACCGGAGCCATTGTTTGGATCTTTCAAACAATACGCATAGAATGGCTTGAGTCCTGATTTTGGTAAATAAAGTTGGTAGACACCACTGTTTTTGTAATATGTTAAAGCTTCAGCACAGCTCGATGGTAACTAAAAGTGTAAAACTAAACGCTATTCTATTTTATGGTTGTATTTAAAATGTATCCTACCTCTCCCAGAATACCATTATGGATACTGGCTCTGCTAACTGTGCAAAATATAAAAAGCGTAAATATTAAGATACCTAAGTTATTATTTAACATTTTGACAAAGTAACTAAAAATGGATTTGAGTAACGAGTTTTTATATGAAAATCTTAGTTAAATCTCTTAATGTTATCTTATCAATTAACTTCATCTTATTTGCCGTTCTTTAGTTTTAAGAAAAGATAACTAAATACCGAAATATTTAAGAAAAAGCAAAAAACACGTTTTTGCCAAGCAGATAGTAAATTAAAAAATATCATAAAAGTTTAAACAATTCAGAACTTACTTATAGTTTGCATCTAACTTTTATGTTATCTAAAGCACAAAATATTCAAACAAGAAAAAAATTATATCAATTCCATACAAAATGCTAAGCACACTTATTGTCTTCAACGCTCTATAAGTGAAGAAGTGTCCCTCTGCGAATTCGATCTTTAAATTCAATCAATTTTTATTTTTTCCTATGCCAAAACCCACTGTCTTAGCTCTGTCGAAACAATCTGAATATTTTACTATATTCCATTTATCAACTACAGCTTGATTATCATAGAAAACATTGAAGCAGTCCTTTAAACATCATTTATATTTTTACTGTCTCTGACAATTACAAACATCGTTACATATATACAAGAAAGAACTTATATTATATTTCGCATATTTTTTTTTAGTTTTATTTATTGTTATTGTTATTAATACTGAAAATATAATGTATAACAATTTATTTGTTATTAATAATTGTTTTACGACATGTGAATTTATCTGGTAACATGACGAATTGCCATGTGAGTATATTTGAGCGAATAGAAATGGTGATGCCAAGTATACCAGTTAATACCTTGTGCCGGTTTATCTTTTCCGTACGCTCCGCGTAAATATTGTCCATTTAAGTTACTGCAATTAAATTAATTTATTGAAGTATAATTTTTTTTAAGTATTTTGATATACTAAATAAATGTTTAATTTATTTTAATAAATGAATAAAAACTATTATCTTTATACCTTTGATGACATTCCTTGTGCCACCAAGCACCTGTGTAGACTGCTGCACAACTTCTCTCCCATTCATCATTATCGCTATCTTTCGTTGAAAACTTCGAACCAGCGTGGATCATGAAAGAATCCCCTGCATTACCAGAATATTTTCCCAAAATTATTAAAGCATACTTCGACTTTTCATCATCAATGGCAAAACTACTATAAAATGCTGAACGAGTTACGTTTTCAAAATCCTCTAATTGAAACCATAGCTCCTGAACTCCATTATTGGTTAAAGCATGTAATTTGTCTAATCCAATAAAAAATTCGCCTTCTAAATTACCAAAACCATATTTATAATCATCCCAATTGCGATTAAAATTTATGGAACCGTCCTGACGTCTTTGAATAATTGTCCAACCTGGACCATTGTTTGGATCTTTTAAGCAATATACGTAAAATGGCTGAAGTCCTGATTTAGGTAAATGTAGTTGATAGATGCCACTATTTTTAAAATTAATTAATGCTTCAGCACAGTTTGTTGGTAACTAAAGAAATTGAATTGTTGAATTCTTTTCAATTTAATAGTGATATTTCACAAATATATCACCTCTCCCGGACTACCGTGGTGTAAATTGGCACTAATAACTGTGCAAAATACAAGAAGCGAAATTATTAAGATGGTTAAGTTATTATTTAACATTTTCACAAAGTAACTAAATATGGATTTGAGTGACGAGTTTTTATTAAAAATATGACAGTTAAATCTTTTAATGTTATCTTATCAGTCAAATACATCTTATTTGTCGTTCTTTAGTTTTAATAAGAGATAAATGGATGTCTAAATTTTTAAAAAGAGCTTTTTTATTGATGGCATTACTTAATTTGCGCTAAGTCGGTAAAATATAATTAAAATGCCTTAGAAGTACTCGAAAGTTTATAAAATCCAAAAATAAATATTAATTTGTGTCTTTAGTCGAAATATATTTTTATCACCGAAGTCGAAAGTCATAAACTAGGACTAACAATGACAAATAATGTAACTTAAATGGAATATTTTTCTATAATTTGCTTTTAATATATACAAAAAAAGGGGAATGTTTTTTTCCAATAATATAAATAGGTTAATTTTTATTGTATTATAAATGACAATTTATTGATTCTTAACAACTGTTCTCTGCTCAACAAAGTTAATTGCTTGCGGGACGAATGGCCATGTGAGTATATTTAAGTGAATAATAATATTCATGCCAGGTAAACCAGTTAATACCTTGTGCGTATTGATCTTTAGAGTACGATCCACGTAAGTACTGTCCATTTAAATTGCTGAAAATAAATTATATTATTAATATACAAATTATTTTTAAAAGTATTAAGTGCTAAATATATATAAGCAAAGAAAATACAGATAAAATGAATTGATTTTAAAGCTGTATATATGTAGGCAAATTATATTTTCTAAATATTAAATGTACCTTCTATGACAATCATAGTACCACCAAGCTCCGGTGTAAGTTTGTGCACAATTTTTGGCCGAACTGTCATTATCGTTATCTTTTGTTGAGAACTTTGAACCAGCGTGAACAGTGAAAGAGTCTCCTGCATCACCATAAAATTTACCAACCATATTTATTGCGTATTTGGAATTTTCGTCATCAATAGCAAAACTAGTATAATGTGCAGAACGAGTTGCATTTTCAAAATCTTCAAATTGGAACCATAACTCTTGAACTCCATTATTTGTCAAAGCATGCAATTTGTCCAATCCAATAAAATATTCGCCTTCCAGATTACCAAACCCAAACTTATAATCAATCCAGTTACGATAGAAGTTTATAGAACCATCCTGACGTCTTTGAACAATTGTCCAACCTGGACCATTATTTGGATCTTTCAAACAATATGCATAAAATGGTTTAAGTCCAGATTCAGGTAAATAAAGTTGATAAATGCCACTACGTTTGGAATAGTGTAATGCTTCAGCACAGCTCGAAGGTAACTAGAAAGAACGAAATAAAAATCAAATCAATTTTGTGGTAGGATTTAGAACATATATTACGTCTCCAAAATTAACGTTATGTGAATTGACTCCGATAACTGCACAAAATGCGAATAGTGAAATTATTAAGATGCTCAAGTTTATGGTTAACATTTTGGAAAATAAATACAAATGAATTTGAAAAACGAGCTTTTATATGGAAATCTTAAGTACATTATTTTATATCTTATCAATTAATTATATTTTATTAACCATGCTATTGTAAAATTTCAATTCTTTTAATTTAATTTTATTTCTTAGAAGAGATAAGTGCACGCCCAAATTTTTAGGAAACAGCTGTTTTTATTGATATAAATCAGTGTAGTTGGCTGACTTTCGATAAGTGGGTTATAAATAAAAAAAATTTTTTGTGAAGTAATTTGTTATTAGAATAATTCAAATATAACTAGTTTTTATTGAATCATTATACCATTATAGTTGTTTATATTTAAACTGTAAGAGTTAATATTATAAAAGTAATATTGAATCCATATATTTTAAGACGTAGAAAAAAAAAGAAATCCACTTATCAGTCAATTATTACTGCGCTATTAAAGCCAGTCAAAATGTTTCCAGACGAAACAAGACCAAACCCAGAACTCTTGAATTCTTCAAATAGATAAAACTAAATTCAAATCTGGTAAAATATAAATAGTCAGTTTTATTATAAAAAAATCTAATCATATTGTGATTTAGTTTGACATTAATAAAACTACAGGCCCTAGAACAATCCTTAATATCAACCAGCTTAGCCTTGCGTGGTCTCTTATACTTTGCAGAGTTTGAAAACATCGCTAGTGCTGATTGACACACAATACTACATATATAAGATATAAATGATTACTTTCGCAGACGTTATTGTTGCTAAAAAAAATATATAAGATATATAAAATATAAGAAAAATTCTAATAAGTGTATATAAAAATAAAATCAATTTGTTTTTTTTTATAAATTTGATCATTTTAAAATTTAATACAACGGTGTGCAATTAGAACTCTGTTTTTATTATTTTTTGTCCAAGGGATATTGAAGACCGACCTAATTATGAGCTATTTTATTGTAAATTAAATTTTTAATATATTTATAAATCAATTAATAATTACAATTTCCTGGCTAAAAATCGCTGCCCCACTCATGTTCCTGTGCCTTTTATAATTCTTGACTTACTAAACTTAAAAATGTCCATTTTTAAATAATTGTAATAATTAATGTAAAAGTCTATATGAACTCTCTAGTATTATAATATACTTTATATATATTAACCCCTGAAGTCTTAACATTATATAATCACTACAATAAGTAAGGGCGTAAAAAACATATTATATTTAGCTTAAGGGCTACTTAAGTGTGGTTGGTTAACTGGGTCAATATAGTGAAATAATATTCTATTATTAGATTATAGATTTTTTTTGTGTTCTGGTTTTTGTTTTTTTTTTCTTGATTTGATATTCAACTCCATTTATAAGTACATATAAACAGACAAAATCATTTTTAAATTAAATAAGTAATATAAATTAAATAATATAAAACCTTGTTTAGGCGCGGCACCCTGATCGCTAATATTGCTGACTATGAGTTAAGACATAATATACTCAACTAATAGCTTCGAATTGTTTTAAAATTTTTTACTTGCTTAAATATGGTAGTGCTTAATGACACAGTATATGCCCCTACTTCTTATATTAGGAGAATATTTTTATGTATTCTATATAGCAGTGCCAGTTAGTATCTTGTTACTTTATGTTATATCTACATGTATATATTATTTTTATATGTTATATATATTTATATACTACATAAATATGATTCTATATTGTACTCATTTTCAGAAACCTTATTAATATCATATTTTTTATAAATAGTTACAAACATATGAACATCTTTATTCGAAACTGTTTATAAAACTTTTCCGGATATTGCTAACCACGCTTGACGTTAATACTAAAAAACGTATGTATGTAAACTACGCCCAATACTTTGAGTTAACTACAATAATAGTTGAATCCTCCTTATGCTAGAAAATATAAATATATAGCAATCATTTATATCGTTTAATCAAAAAGTTAAATCATTGCAAACCAACAATTTTTCTTCAAAATTCATCAAGACAAGAAGTAGTTCGATTGGGGTTTGCTATTAATATTCATCTGGTGTTTATTCTTTCATACCCTAGAAACTATTGACTCTACCCTAGAAACTGTTGTTAACTCTACCGAGACAATTAGAATATATCTTATTTCTTCATAAAACTACTTCTTACTTATTTTTTTCAACTTATCAATACATATAATATACCTTGATTTCCATAGCAGACATTGAAACTGTCTTCTTTATATTATGAGTATTCTCTTCAAATCTCAAGTAGCTCAATTAATATATTATATAAAAATAATAAAAAAACATATTATTCTTTATAATAATACGTATAATTTTTTTTATTTAAATAAATGCTCAAAATATTATAAAGGACAATTTATTTATTCTTAACAAATGGTTTTATAAGTATAGAACTCATCTGCTAATAGGACGAATTGCCATGTGAGTATACTTTAAGGAGTAGTAATAGTCATGCCAATCAAACCAGTTAACACCTTGTGCAAATTTATCTTTAGGGTACGGTCCGCGTAAATACTGCCCATTTAAGTTACTGAAAACAAATAAATTCATTAATGTATAAAATATTTCCAGTACTTTTATGTATTAACTACTCATCAAAAAACGACTGAGACATTTTGAAGCCTACATACTTTATATAGTAATCACTTCTACACATCACACAGAAATTGATTGCGCTTCATAAACAAATCATATATATTTCTTTTAAAAGCCTAATATGTAAGCAATTATTAAGGCTTTTTTTTATATACCTTTTATGGCAGGTCTTGTACCACCAAGCTCCGGTGTAGGTTTGTGCACAACTTTTATCCCAAGTATCATTATCGTTGTCCTTTGTTGAGAACTTCGAACCAGCGTGAGCAGTGAAAGAGTCTCCTGCGTTACCAGAATATTTACCCAATACATTAAGTGCATATTTTGAGTTTTCATCATTAATAGCAAAACTGCTATAATACGCATTACGAGTTGCATTTTCAAAATCTTCCAAGTGGAACCATAATTCCTGAACTTCATTATTTGTCAAAGCATGTAACTTATCCAATCCAAGGAAGTGTTCGCCTTCCAGATTACCAAACCCAAATTTATAATCAACCCAATTCAGGTAGAAATCCATAGATCCATCCTGACGTCTTTGGACAACTGTCCAACCGGGACCATTGTTTGGATCTTTCAAACAATATGCATAAAATGGTTTAAGTCCAGATTTAGGTAAATAAAGTTGGTAGATGCCACTATTTTTGAAAAATTTTAATGCTTCAGCACAGCTCGTTGGTAACTAAAAAGACGATAAAAAAATTTTCATTTTTAAAAATTCCGTTTTATGGTAACAGCTGAATTATCTATTACGTCTCCCAAATTGTCACTGAGGGAATTGACTCCGATAACTGCGCACAATGCGAATAGAGAAATTATTAAGATGCTCAAGTTTTTATTTAACATGTTGACAAAATGACTACAAATGGATTTGAGTAACGAGTTTTTATATGAAAATCTTAAGCAATTTTGTTTATGATATCTTATCAATTAATTATTTCTTATTTACCGCACTTAGTTTAAATACAATTTCATTTCTAAGAAGAGATAAAGACATGCCCCAATTTGTAAGAAAAGCTATTTTTATTGATATGAATTAGTAGCGTCCTGGGTATTGATAAGTCGGTTATAAATAAAGAGTAGTGTCTATAAAGTAAACTAAAAAAGTCAAGACTAATAGTTTTTTGTATCTTTAGTTTAAATATATATATACTTCATGACTTCAAAACAATAAAATAATGAAATAATATTTCGTCTGATTATTTTTAAAATAATATATAATACACTGAATAAATCGTTACCTCAATCCTGAACTATTATTTACTCTATTTCTTAGTATTTATTATGTTATACTATTTATTTGTTATTGTAATTTTTTATGTGTAACTTGTTAAAAAATTTATTAAATTTTAAACGCGGTAAGTATTGAATAAATAATAGTCCAATTGAGAGAAAAAGTACTATTTTTTTATAAAAATATTTGAAAAATACTACTAAATTAATAATTATTTATATATACAATAAATGGACAATATACAAATTTCATTAGATAGTTATCACGACTTGATTTTTCACCAATCGTCAACATAAAACTCTTCTATTTTGGCAATAACCACCTTATGAAAGTGATGTCTACATAAAAACACCGATAAACCAACTATGATGTAGTTAGTTAGTTAAAGTGGAGGGAGGAATGTCAATTGGCTACTAAAACCGTGTTGAATCTACAATTCCTCGTATTAATGTGTAGAAAAAGGTCAAACTAGTACCAGTCAAAAGCATTTATAAAGTCAAGAGTCTGGCCAATGATAATACTAAACACATCGCTTATTGTGTTAAAGAAGGGAACCCCCAAAAACGTAAGCCTAGTTCTGGTCAGGCCTGGACATAGACACAACAGATATTCTGGCTTCCTCTCTTCAAGAGTTAATAGACATGCGTTGTAATAGATACCAAAGGGTAGGCTGAGTCTAACTCCATGCGATCTTATGGTTCAGTGCCCTTTGAAGACAAATATTAACGTAAATAACTTTGATTTGCTTCTGTGTATCAGGTGAAAGGTTCTGTATTTGAAGTAGATTGGCTATGCACCCCTTGACCTGATTGTTGAGGTAGTATGAGTATTTTTTTAATTATATTGCACTCCTCACAAATTAATACTACAACAGAAGTCTTTCGTCGTCTTAGTTTTTGGTTCTTTACGTCGAATATTCCCAAACTGACACCTCTTTCTTAAATCACAATTTATGATGAAAAAAAATGAGCAAAGATATTCGATAACTTGTTTAAAAAGGAAAGAGGCAATAAATATTTAACGGCTAACGAAATAGTCAACGTAAAGTAAGGAATTGAAGCCCGGACGTATAAATATAATAAAAAATTTAACAGCAGACGTGATCGACTGTTATCAGAAATGTTTAAATTATTCTAAATTAAAGAATTTAAATTGAGACTTTTGACACGTGAAAAGAAATTGCCAATCCTATATATGTTGAGTGCGTACTCACTGATCAACTTTGGTCACGACTGCATTATTATTACCTTCAGTCCTTTCTTTTATTACAGAGATTGTTTCTTTTTAATTCCAACTGAAAGTTTGGAATAAGATTTTAATTATTAACGATAGGAAACGAATAAAATATATTTTTTTAAAAAACTTTAAGTTACCTGAAAGAAATTGTATTGATCTATGAGTCCATGTATACAGAATTATCTTTCGGTTCAGATATTTTAACAATTTCTTCTAATTATATTGATTTATCAAATTGCGTATATTAACATAGATCAGACAATAAATGTTAAAACTTCATTGCCTTGCAAGAGATGGTGCAGAAACTCTTTTAAGATATATTTTTAAAGTGGTTACTCTAATAAATAAAGATTGTAATAAATATTATATTCACACATGAATTATGTCTTTTTTTTTATTTTTTAGGACCCACTTATTCCTACTTATGTTTGTATTGCTTTATATACATTGTGTGAAAATTAAATTATTATTTCTTTGCATTTGTTCCAACTCACTTTCTAGAAAAACTCATTTCATGATATTGTAATTATAGTTATATATAATAATAACTGTTAATTTCTTGTATCTGCTCTAACCGACTTTAGCCTGATTAAGACAGCTTATTACATATTTATTTCTTTATTTCCTTATTGCTGTACTTATACCTTCTCTATACCTTCCTCTTCAGAATATTTAAAATTTCTTCCATTGTTTCCACTGTTTTTTACCTCTATTTATTAATATATTCAATGCAGCATTATTATCATAAAAAATATAGATACTGTCCTCTACATATCGCGTTTAAATAAATCCTTTGAAAATTGGTTTTCAGTAAATAAAAGAAGTAACTAATTCTTTTTTACAATAATACAGAAAAAATTTACTTTTATTTTCCATT